ATGGTGATAGTAGAGGGACAATAGACTTAAACATTGAAACGCTCCACAGAAAACAAATTAATAATTTAGGAATGTACAATCAAACAAAATATAAAAACTTAAAAAAAAAGAAAAAAAAAGATGGGTATGAGGTGAAACATTTGCATAAATTTCTATAAATGCATATTTTTCAATGAATTTCACCTTTTGGGTCAATGTTGGTTTGTAAACAGATGGACTTTTTTTTAAAGCAAACCTTATAAACCTTCACTTACAACTTTACTGGTGTTGATCTAGAGCTAAACTTTTCCTTTATTCAGTTTCTCCAAAATGGCTTTATGTCTTACTATAACATCTTCCCTGGACATTTTACCACAGCAGGAGCCCATCCAGGTGATTATCAGACAGCAGCTCACTTCCGTCCCAATGACTCCGCCAGCTTCTTGAGCCTTTTCTTGAGCTCAAGCGGAAACTTCTCATAACACTTTTTACAAACAGGCTTCATGTCAAACTCTACAAACTTGTTCCTGCAAAGAGGAAAACAGGAATAAAACCACTGGAGTATTTTGGGTCTTATGTTGTTGATTAGATTACAAAACTTCCGAATGCAACACATTGCACCAAGCTTTTTTCTGTCTGACCAACTAAATTAATTACCAGGCATCTGAATTTAATCAACCAATCAAGCTCTGCTTATATCTAACATGCATGTACATGTTTTAGATTCATGCCACCAACACAAACAACTACACTGGTTTCACTCTAGAAAGTAAATTACAAAAAAATAATGACATGCCATAGAGCGAAAGAAGTTAACAAGGACAACCACAGGAAGCGACGAGGAAGGCAGCGACAGCACCAACCCATGGATGGAGTGGTGAAGCTACAGGCACACTGCCGGATTTTTCCTGCGGTCTTTAGCATCACGTTCACGCCGAGCAAGTCTGCGTTTCAGCTCTTCAGGCAAGTGCTCATAGCAATGCTTACACACTGGTTTCAAGTCAATCTCAACAAACTTATCTCTGAGTTGTCAAACACACCAATTGAGGCGTGGAAAAGAAGACACAGGAGGAAAACAGGAAATAAGAAAGAAGCAGTGTTGGGGCATCATGAAAAACACACCTATTAATAGTGAGAAGTGTTAAAGAAAAGTAAGAGGCACAACAAACATGAGGTGGAAGAGTTGCATGTGACTAGATTTTATGGTTTGCATCAATGAACATATTAAGACTTACTTGAGAGTGAGCTTGGTGTTGCAGGTGGAGCAGGAGAAACAACTGACACACCAGGCTTTGTTGAGAGCAGACACAACTGAGGGGGTGCAGAAGAAAGAAATAAAAACAGAAGATTCAGCTGCTGTCACTGAAAGCAACACTTTGTTCATTACTGAACCACAGAACTTTTTTTAATTATTGAACCACAGAAGATCCTAATTATGTGTTTTATCACACTGATGCTCACCATCGCCTTCAATCACACGGTTGCAGTGATAACACACGTCCCCAAAGAGCTTGACAGCAGAGAAACAAGGAGAGAAAGCAAACAAATTCCTTCATTGTCTTCCTGCGTTGTGATGTTGGCCGTGTCATTCAAAGCCAAGTTTTAGCTTCTTACCTGATTGTAATGCGTCTCACAGTAAGCCAAACCTTTTCTCTCATAATGGCGGTGACCAAGGAAAGGTTTCTCACATTTGGCACAAACAAAGTGCTGTAAAGAAACAGATGTTACTAAGGGGAAGACGCATTTCTAATGAAAGTCAAATACTGATCAAACTGAAGAGATGTTGGCTGCAATCTAAACATCTAAACATGATATAAATGCTGTTAAATAGTCGGGAACATTTACAAGTAAAATGTCTGAATCTTCAAAAAACACTGCAGTTTGTATGTAGTCTCTTCTTGTTGTGTACCCATGCATCCCATAATACAGAGCATTCATGGTGTAACTAATAAAAAAAGAACCTCATGTCTGTCATTTCTGAAGTGGTTGGATGTAAAACTACTTGCTGCCAATTAACATCTTCAGCATTACACCGCCTGCTGAACACTGTTAATAGTGTCAAACTTTTAGAGAGTATGAAATGCAGCAGCCTTCAGTCAGATGAATCCATCATTTGATCTGCCTTGCTTGACCTCTGGAGAATTCGTCTTTTCCAAACTCTCAGGCCCGTCAGAAACACTCCAACTAGCTTAAAGCGTTTTGGGTCCAAATACCTTTTCCTTCATTTTCAAGTTCATATATCTTGACAACATCCATAATTTATTGAATGTTTGTATATTCTACCCAAGTCTGACTGCAGTGCAGAGATCTGAATAAGACCAAGGATGTCTTTAAGATTTGGACAAAATCATGTCTATCTATATAGATAAGAGGAAGATAAGAGTTTTGTGCCTGATAGTTTAAGAAGAACATCTGAAGTCAGAATCAGATGAGACACAAAATTATAATCTTTTTCTCATTTGAGAAAAAAAACGACATTCTTTCATCTTTAATTTGAGTTTCATGATTATCTTTATACTGCTTTCATTCTGGCCAAAATATTTGAACAGTGTGTTTTTTTTAAATTAGAAAACACATTTTTAGACCAAAAAACAATATGAGCCATTTCTCAGGTGATGAACACATTGAAGTGCGATAAATATTACCAATAAAACCCAGGACTGAAGCATTCACAAACCTCCACATGCCACTGCTTGCCCATGGCGTTGACCACACGTCCCTCAATGGGCCTCCTGCAGGCGCCACAGATTGGCACACCCATCTTATCATGGCAGGGCAAACAGAAGAGCTCCCCTTTCAGTTCTCTTGCATCAGCAGTCAACTCTTTTCTAGGAAAAAAAAATATGAATAAAATTTAAAAAGACTATTGGCTTTTTAAATTTATCCTACCAGTAGAATGTGTGGAAACATGAGAATAAGATGAAGGTGATGGCACCGACCCGCAGTTGTTACAGTTGAAGTGGTCAGGGTGATATGGATCGTTCTTAAAGATCAGCGGCTGCTCTTCAATAATAGCATGGCACTTCTGGCAGATATACTTGCCTAGGCCCCGAGCCTTCTCCCGATTATGGCATGGACGACACAAGTGCCTGAGGGAAACAAAAAAAAAAAAAAAAAGCAATCACAGGGAGCTAAAAACATTCCTACAGATTTTGTGACACACTCCATCACAGCTGCTTAAAATTCCATTATTTGCTAAAATGCAAAGAGAGTCACAAGCTTGGCAAGTGACGCCACCTGTTCAAAAGGCTGCCACGCTGTTATTTGCCAGACTGTAAAACGCCGGGATTACTAACCTGCCAGCATTTTTGACAAACCCCACATCTGCAAGTACTGCCTGACAAATATCGCAGCAGAAGCAGTCAGGGTGCCAACTGTTGTTCATGGCCTTAATGACACGACCGATGATGAACTCTCCTGGAAGAAGAAGAAAAAAAAGAAAAAAAAATCATACGACAGATCAACTCGACACACCAGGCATGAGATGAAAACGCATAATTAAAATGAGACAAACACTGCAACACTTAGGCTGCCAGCAGGTGTGTTGACGAAAAAAAAATAGTTTAATTGTATTAACAACTAAATGTGTAATATCACTTATAATTTTGATATGAATAGATTACAAACCTAAAAAAAAAAGAATATTCCAGTTGCCACTTCCCAAAAAGCTACAAACAATTTAGTTTTCTGAATCCACACAAAACGTGGTCAATACTAAAAGTCAACACTCACCACACTGGTGGCAGCAGGGAGCGAAGAGCATCTGGAAGTCATGCTCACAGTATTTCCTGCCTTCAAACTGTAAAAGGAAAACATTCAAACATATTTGTAAAAGAGAGTCAACAACTTTCTGTGCACTCGGTATGGCTCAGTATTGCGTTGATTTGTGGCATTCAAAAGAGCACCATCATGTGACATGCGTTACCTCATAGAAGAGTCCTTCTGGAAACTGCTGGAAACACTGGGCGCAGACGAAGCACTGCTCGTGGTAAAGCTCTCCATTACTGTTGACGATTTTCTCAGTTGGAGCAAAGCCACTTTTACAGCGCTCACAGACTGCGCTGACCAGGGCATTCGCAAAGCTGTGTTACAGGGGGAGAAAATAAAACACGCATGCATTTCTCCCCTCGGTGTTCAGGCTTAGTCCGGTGTTTATCATTTCTCACATAGCTCAAATCTGAAGTATACGTCAACTGTGTTGAGAGGAACGGGGATAATGAACTCACCTTTAGTCACTGCAAAGACATCACCTAATTTGGTAAGGTTAGAGAAGCACTGATGGCTGGTTAAGCCAACATACGACTATGCAAAAATAAATAAATCGTTCTCCCCCTTACAGGTTTCTTCTGTTTTTTGTTCCACATAAATGTATCAAAACAAGGCAACTTATTAATCATTACAAATAACCTGAGAAAATAAAAAAATAAGTCTTTCAGATTGTGATTTTATTTAGTGAGAGAAGAGCTTTCCAAACCAAGATGGGTCTGTGTGTAAGAATAACCACTCTTCCTGTCGATTCACAAATGTCCTCCATGTTTACAGGAGTAGAATGACCCTAGTGAAATTAGGTGTGGCCGTCCTCCTGAATTTACTTCGAGCGCTTCCATACCACAAAATAACCTCAAACAACATCAGAAGCCTCACTTGCTTTATTTAATGTCAGTGTTTATGATCTGTCAGAAAGAAAGAGAATGTCAAGACTTGAAGTTGTGTGTTCATGCTTTTGTTATTTCCCTGGTTCAACACACCTGAATCAAATAACCAAATAACAGTTCATTAGCAAGCCTCTGCAGATTTCTGACATGCTGAGTGAGGAGGTAGTTGGACAATGTTGATTAGCTGTGTTGGCGACATCAAAAACCATCAGTACACCAGTCCTTGAGGACAGGAGCTGCCATGCATGTCCCAACTATGAATGGGTTTCAGATGGGCCTAGTTAAAGTCAGGATTTATGCTCAGCTAAGATACTATGGCATTACTTTAAACAGGCTGTTTATTTGCAAAAAGCCTTCGGTTGTGGCTTAATTAAAACAAAGAATGGGACAAAACTCATTTACTAAATAGTCAAAAAGCCTGATGACAGTGGGTGGCAAAAATAGTAATTACATTTAGCTGACTTTTTAGTTATGAGTTTTGGGGGCATTTCTTATAGGGCCATGTTGGTTTGTTTTTCTCTCATATTAAATGAAATGATCATTTGAAAAAGATGCATTTTGTATTTTCTCATGTTATGCTTTGCATTTTGTACACTTGTGCAGTTATATAGGCTTAGATCTAAACAAAAACGGTAACAACGAACACAGCAAAAGCTACATTCTCAACTTATATTTGGAGTATAGCGTTGTACTTAATCTATAAGCCTTTAATTATCCAAAGCTGTTTTGAGTGAAATTGTCGAAATTAGTAAAACGCTAATATCACCAAAAATCTTTACACACAAGGCATTTTGTATGTATTGTTACAAAAATGCCTCTATTGTAACAACACATAGGTTCACGTTAGACGCTAAAACTGGCTAGTAGAGCTAGATAGACCCTCAACAGTCAAGCAACTACCATGCTAATATTGCAACTTCGCAAAAGATAGGGATTGGATACATCCCTTTCTTTTTTCACTTGTAAAATCAAATTCTGAAGGAGTCGAAATGAAAAAAAAAAAAGGTAAATGAAAGACTCCAAACTAGTTACTTTGTAGCTGAGCCAGTTTACTAAACTACTTTCTTCTGAGGTTAGATACGTTGGCAAGCTAGCCTGACATTAGCTTTAGCAATGCTAGCAGAGTTCCCGTTAAGGATTTAACTGTCCGTACCTGCCCGTCATCCCAGCTACCCCCAGCATCACCTCCGTAAACACAGTCTGAGGGGGAAACGGCTTACAAAGCTGTGCTTGATTATTTTCAGAATTACAACGTTTTGTCGACTTGCAAGTCCCCGTCCGACGCAAACGCAAGGAGACCGAGTTGGCAGCAGTGGGGAGTGTCCGAGAGTCTGAAACCAACCAGGGCGTCGCTTACCCAATGTAGGTCGCGAGCACAAAAAGAGGGGTCTGCTTTTTAAAGCTCAAATAACATATATAGAAACAAATAATGAGGATAACTCATTCTAAACATACAATTTTCCAACAGGTGTTAAACAATCACCATAATCTTAGAAAGTTGCACGTGTTTCCTGGCTTCAGAGTAACCACAATCTTCACATTTCATGTTGAGTAAGACCTCTACCATATAGGAGCGGAATTACAATTGTTTATGTTCAGTTTAATATGAAGATTGTGCATTTGCCCACTAAATATGAAATAAACTGTAAATGCACAATATAAATATGTAGGATATTCAATGTAAATGCAAAGAAATACAAATTCAGCAGCCATAGATATATGTAAATAATTCCAGACAATATTTTTTTAAACAAGCGTTTTTTTAATGACTATAAACTAAAATATTGTATAACTTTGGAAAAAAAATACAAGTTACTTTCAAAAAAATCTCAGTATTATACAGCTTTAGTAAGAGAAAATATAACTTAACAGCAGCTGAACTTTTTCAGAAGAAAGATCAGCCCTCCATCACCGGCTTAGATTACAATAATCATCTTCATGCACAGGTGAAAAGAAATGCAGTTAACCACACTAACCAGCAGATGGCGTGTATTTACAAACAGATAAAAGAAATATGTTCTGAAAGTATTTTCATTCGGTTTTCGAACAAACGGGATGAATCATAAGAGGGAAGAAAACACATAAAGACAGGATGGGTCTATTAACAGAGCAGCAGGCTATTAAATTTGAAGTTTTTACAAATTTAACTACAGTTAACATAATAATGATACACAACCAATGTTAAATGAAAAATGGTTAAACAATATTCAGGACTTTTTTTTTCCGTTTCACTATGTAGAACGGCATAATTTTATATCTACAAAAGGGAGATTGTGCAAGTAATAGCATGTTGTTTTTATTATTATGGAATTGAGAAAAATGAAATTTAAATTTAAAAAAATAGGATTTAACAAAAGACAATAATCAGTTTGTGAAGCATTCAGCCTGAGCCACATCTACTCGTTCTTCTCACTTTGTTTTTAATAACATTTTCAGTTAATAGTGCTTTACATTATGTCAGCCAGCACATCAGTCATTCAGTCAGATGCAAAACAGCTTCTCTACAAGCCTTCTTTTTTGACTGAATGCTCAGTTGCACATTTTAACTATATACATTTACTTTATTGGAGGCAATTAAATGACTGTAACCTTGTAATTCAGTGGTTCAAACCAACAATATTTGCTTTCGCCCCCCCCCAATTACAAATTTAAGTGACTACATCACCAGGATTTATAGTTAAATATGTTTATCTCTGGAATTTAACAACATCCATACATCTTATCAGTGATTCGTAATACAATCTCCTTTTTCTATTTCCTTTACCAGTATTAAAGACATTCGATATTACAACAAAAACTAAATAGAAAATCCTTCTCAGATAGACACTTGTATTAATAGTAGCACATTATATGATTGTGTTGTTAGGCAAGTTTCTCTTGCCAAAGGGATTTTCTCCTCATATAATAAATAATCAGCTATATTCATTAGACTTAGAATGTTAAAAAATAAAAATAAGTCTTAAAAAAATAACAGACATTCAAGTAATCTACAAAAAGAGTTTGTGACAACAGAGAGAAATTACCTCTGCCTCTGCATGGGCTTAATTTTGCCTTAATTGGGGACCTTCATTAGAGGAAAAAGTGCATTAAAGTTATACGTTGCATATACAAGTATACTGCATATTAATGTCTGTAATTAGGGTTTCTTTCATGTATATGTTTTCAAATAAACACTTTTTTCTTTACAGTTTAAACAGGATAATTTGTCATACAATACAGAAATGAAAAAAAAAAAAAAAAAAAAAGGTGAACAAACTCAGAGTTATTTACAAGCTCATCATGGCCAGCCAGTTAATGTTTCAAACAGGAGATAGGCTATCCTTGGGCTTTTTCCACTTGGACAGAAGAACACAAAAACAACAAGTGGTAGTGAATCAGTCGACAGTCGTAATAGTGGCTTTACGAGGGAAAGCTGGAGAGGTTAGAAGAAACAAAAACATAATTTCAAGACAGAATCCACCTCTGCTGCTGCATACCAGACTGCTGTCTCATGACCACCACCCAGTCTGGGCCACACAAAGCCTCTTGGCAAAGACCAGTTAGCAATTCCGCACAGACACTAACGTAAATTTAAAAAAAAAAAAAAAAAAATCCACAAACGTTTGCAGAGCGATTAACCAAAAACCCTCCTAGCTTATCATGCTGATCATCCCGTCAAATTTATGCACTGTATTTACCTTTAATCCACGACGAAGATGATTACACAAACCGATTTCACACACATTGTGCATTTAGTGTGACAACAATTATAATTGTCTTTGTAAAATTCATCTCTGAGAAGTTACTTCCTTTTATTAAAAGGATTGTAGTTATGCCCTTACAAGGCAAAAGAAAAAAAGAAAAAAAACAATATTTACCATATATATATATACAAAAAAAATATCTGCCTGCATGTCACCAACACAGATGTGGAGCAACTTCTGTCTTGAACATAATTCCTCAAATTCCCAACAGATTCGAGATACATGCTACTAATTGATGTGTAAATAACAACAACGGGTCTGAAGGGCTCAGAGGAAGAAAATCCTAAAGGATATAAGTCATTAAATTATATAAATGCATCAGCTACATCAAATTAAAAACAAAATAAGATCAAAAAGATGTAATTTCTTCTTCTGTTGTACCTGTAAAAATAAGAATCTGCGCACAAAAAAAAAACAAATTAGCCCCTCACCAAACCTTTCCATTCTTCAGCTCTCTACCACGTAGGCATCATGTCAGGGAACCAGACACGACCCAAATGCTTCGACACCTCCCAGTGGATGTCGTCCAGCTCGTAACGGTGATCCGGAACCAGCACTTCCTCCATGATGGACAGCTGCTTTAGTCTCTCCCCGCACATCTTCACGAACTCCACGAAGGCGCTGCAGGACACCTCGCACTCTCCCAGGCCGATGGCGGACAGCTGCGTGCAGCGCTGGGCGATGCGGATGAGCTCCTCGTCGAGAGGCCGCAGCCCGTTGGCGCACACCACCAGCTCCACCAGACGCGGGCAGGTGAGCCCGACGCGGCCCAGCACGTCTTTGCTGACGGAGCGGCCGAAGTACAGGTGCGTGACGGGGATTTCGTCGCGGAAGAAAGGGTCGAACTCCTCCTCGTAGAGGTAGAAGTACATGACCAGGTTGAATTTGGGGGAGTGGCGCACCATGGCGTCCCAGCTGCTCTTCTTGATGGAGTGGAACTGCTGGCCCGGGTTCTCGCTGACCACGTCGATGCGAAGGTGCTCGAGGTGAACGTGCTTCTCCGAGGAGAGCGCGATGAGGAGCTCGTCGCTCAGCAAGTGGTAGTTCAGAGCCAGCTCTCTCAGGCCGTGGCACTGATCGGCCACGCACATGATGCCTGCAAACAGGAGAACACAGTGAGTCGGTGCAAAACAAAAAAAAAAAAAAACCCTCAAACAACCTGAGGTTTTTTCACATTTTATCACATTAAAGCTACAACCTCCAATGTATGTTGCTGGGATTTTATGTACTAGACTCTTGCAAAAGGTCGTTCCACAAAGTATTGATTTATGGAGGACGAATATTAATGAGCTCCAGAACTTTCAGACTTTAATTTGTAACAAACTATGAATCAGGTTTATTTCACTTCAGTATTAGAAGATATTTCGTATTCGTCCATCTTCTAAAATCCCCACATATTAAGATTTTTGGTCATCACATAAAAAAAAAAAAATGCAAAAAATCTAAAAGCCACACTATAACTTTTGAAAGGAACTATATCTATATATAATATTAAGTTATGTTTTTTCTCCACATTAGCATATGGAAGCATGTTTATAATCAGCAATTTGCTATTTTTGTGAGTTGTCTACATCAGGTACTTTAGGTAATAGAAAGCTTTTCTACCCATTTTTTTGTTTTAGAATAATTTCTCATGGATGTGAAATTAAGATAATAATAATAATAATAAAGTAACAAACTAAATGAAAGAGATGGCAGAAGTTAGTGTGTAGTTAGTGTTTGCATTTGCAGCCAAACTGAATGAAACTTAATACAATTAGATTTATCTGGACTGCCTGGATTTCATCTACATGCCATCTGTTTAATATGAAGAACACCCCGAGTCGACTTTTATTGTGAATCGGTGCAACCCAGATGAAGTAAACTGAATTTATCTTGGTGAGAAATGAGCTTCTCAAGAATAATGAGTCGGTTATTAAGAATTAACAGCCGTGCCGTAAATCATGTGTTGTGTTCGTACCTGCAGGTGAAACATGTGGGCAGCTGCTCATTTTCAGCAGCTTGAGAGTGTCGCTGTTGTTGGCCACCAGGACTTTGAGGGACGGATCGTCCACAGGGGTGTCGTCGATTTTCAGGGAGGACAGAGACTTGGAGTTGACGAAAACAACCGTCAGAGCGGAGATGAAGTGAGACTGTAAAGAGAAAGAGACACATTGAATGGCACAAAACGCGATAACCAGGGTGACGTAACACCATTATGACTGTACCAATCTGGTTCCAACACAATGGTAATGGTGGTGCAAAATGAAATTACACGATTTCAAAACAAGCAGGACGCCGTTTTAGTAGAATTTTCTGCACAAAAATACAAATAAAAATCTTTTCAATTTAATGGCTGAAAAAAAGATAATTTAAACATAAATGTGTGTGGGTATGTTTTCAGATTAAAAGGAGAAAAAAAATGTAGACTTTACTATTTGTTGAGTAAAGTCTACAGTGTGTGTAGCTGAGAGAGGCCTTGTAGATTCAGACTGGGAACGTCGCGGCTGAATGAATGTGCCAGTAAGAGAGCCGCAACGCCATCCAAGGGAGTCGCTCAAAAAACAGCTTATCCTGAAGACGCTCTTTCTGACGGACACATTTCCAATTTTCAGTTTAGCCTGAGCTGCTGATTTT